CAGGAAGAGCCCAGAACAGCCTGGCTTCCTGGCCTTGTCTTGTAGAGCAGAGTCTGTCTCTAACCACGGATCAGGCCTCACCAACCCTCCTCCCTCCCATGTATTGAAAATGCTTTACGTGTGAATTAGGTGCTGGTGAAAGGTGCCAGTCTCACTGTTCTGGAGGCCACCATAGAGCGCACGGACATCTGCAGGGTGGGCTCCTACATCCATGGGCATCAACCATGACCTGTAGGAGTTCAGTGCCTGTGGCTCCTTCTGCCCTTTGCCTCTACTCAAACTCCCCACCAAGGTGCCAGTTGGGGTGATTGATGTGACGGGGACCCTACCCTCTGAACACTGGACTGGGGACACCAAACTTGTTTTCCACACAGCTGTGGAGCAGCAATTTGCTGGACATTATGCACCCAGGTTAGATTTGAACTTATGATTTAGCAGTTGAAGGATCTGATTCTCCACCATCCTTTACTTGTAGAGATATTGACACCTGTGCACAGTGGGTGTCAGATGTTACCAAACCAGAACGGTGGCCTTTACCCCCATGTTGCAGAGGTGTGAATGACAACACAGGTTGTAAGGAGAACCAGGCCCAAAGGCTCTATATGCTACTGACAGCCCTTTGAGACCTGCGGAGAGGCAGAGAAACTCACACTCTGCCCCTGACTGGAAAGCCCTGCTTTTAAAAACAACCATGCCTGTATCTCAGTTCTGAGCAGTGAGCAGAAATCATACACCACAGGCACTTACTTCTCGCTAGTGTCTGAAATACAAATGCGGGGGAGGGAGGGGGCAGATTCTCCTGTTACTCACACCAGTGTAAACCCCACTGAGTTCAGTGGAGTGATTCCTGATTTACACCAGGATGAGGGGCAAATCAGGCCCTGAATTTCTGTGACTGCAGTGCCACGCCATCCAATCCCATCTCCCCACTGCCATCCTGGCTTATCACCAGCACAAACAGCAATCATCATAAAAGTAGGTCTGTATTATTTATACCAAAGCTTAGAGCTACAACAAATCCCCTTAGATTGTATCTTATAGGCTGCAGCACTGTGGTCTCCCAGCCACCACCACCCACACGATTCTAAACTACAATCAGAGAACACTGCTTCAAAGCTGTTTCTGTAAGTCTGTGAATTTCATGCCTCCCTCCCTTCTCGCCCCCAGGAGCTAATCAGTAACCCATCCATTCCCTGCCCTGCATGCCCGCTTGTAAGACAGCAGTGATTTATAATGGTGATCCAAGGCACCTGCCTCCCAAGGGGCTGCAGTGGAGTGGCTCTCCTGGAAGAGACCTGCCCCGGTGCCCCCTGAAGCTCATGACAGAGCCATTGGACAAGCAAGCTCAAGGAGCTCCGCTCAGCCCTGGTGCAGAAGTTGAGCAACACTGACCAGGGAACACATGGGTATCCTGCGATCCCAGTCTGTTGCTATAGTGACAGAGGTAGGATCCTCTTGTTCCGCTGAGGCTAGAACTGCACACAGCTCCACTGGTTGTTTTCTAACCGAGCGGCACGATCACATCCTTCGAGAGCTGACTTAGCCTCTGCAAATGGATTTTCTGTGCGTCCCTGAGTTCAGTCGCAGCCCTGTGTTCCCTCGGCCAATGACAGCTCAGCCAGTGGGGGCCCTGTATCCCTGCATGCCTCAGGACAATGAGGAAATAAAGAGCAGAGTAGAACAAATTCACCTTCCTCCCAGTGCTCTGTGCCCTCTGGCCTTGTTGTGTCAGCATGGCGCTATCAAGCTACATTGATTTCTAAACTGATTTAGGACTGGCCTCCTCACAGAGCTGTACCAGCTTCACCAAAGGTGTGATTTCTGAAGTAATTTAATTAAATTGGTGCAAATCCCTATGCGGACACTTATTTCCATATAAACCAGGTTTATTTCACTTTAGCTTAGGTTGATTGGTGAAGGTCTAAGGGAAACCAAAACAAACCACTATAAACGGGCTGTCACCCCCAGAGCGCCCCCTCGTGGCCTGGGATGGCTCTGCATCTCTCACAGAGCTCCTCAAAAACACCACCCAGTCCCTATCATTTTATGACATTGCCCTTCTGGAGGGGGACCCAGTCTAGTTAGTCCATACACATGTTGGCTCTCCAGGCCCCAGCCCTTCCCTCTAATCCAGGGAGCCCACAGCCCTGCTTCCCAAACCATGTGGCACTTCATACCAGCTTCACCCGGCTGGCCCCAGGCACCCATTTCAAAGTTCAGCTAGTTCTCTCCTCCTGAGTCAGGGGTCCTCAGCCCCACTTCCCAGAGTGCCAGACAGCCCCTTGCTCTCTGCCACAGCCAGCCTTGGTCCCCTTAGCCCTCACCGGCAGCTGCTTCCTCAGTCCAGCTGCAGTTTCCCAGGCTTTTGTCCCACCTGGCACGCCCAGCCCATCCTCACTGGAGTGTCCAGAGCCCGAGGCCTGGCCTGAACTGCCTTCCTGTCACATGACCAAAATCATTTTCCCACCTGGGCAACAGAAGGGGCCAGCCAGGCTGTGCCAGCCACTCACAGGGAAATAAGTGTCCACCCGGAGGCAGCTGGGGCCTCAAATTGTCCCCCTCCTCACTTCACGACCATCCAGAGGGTGCTGGAGAGCAGCCTGGGCATGGAGGTTAGTCAGCAAGTCTGTGCTGCACTCTCGGGGCCTAATAGGCCTCCTGTTTATACCACTGTGAATCTCACTCTGCGGAAGCCAGCAGAGAGACTCCAGCATGCAACTGGAGTAAGTGAGAAGAGATTCAGGCCCTAGCAATGGATGCCTGGAGTGCAGCTATAGAAGCATCCAGCCCATTAGCAAAGGGGTGAGAAAATCTGGGGCTTGGGATTAAATGTTCCTAAAAGTGATGAGTTTCCTCATGGAAACCAGGACAGAGGAATCGACTGCTCCCTTCCTGTTCAGACAGCCATTGTCCATCTGACAGGCAGCTACATACACTCACCTTGGGATGCTTCCACCCATGCCTCAATCTTCCCTGAAGGTGGAGGTCAGTTGTCTTGAGAGCAGGGAAACCTGGAAGAAAAAGAGGCGAAAGACACAACAGCTCAATTCTGTGCATGAATCAGCACCCGTGGGTGTTTGCAAAGACCCTTCCAGTCCTAGGAGGCATAGGAAACGCTGGTTCTCCTTCCTCACCCAGCAGCAAAACCAGACATCAGATCAGAGCCTCTCTTCCGAAGTGCGGTAATGTCTCCCACAGAAATCAACAGATGTATTGCCAGTGAGCGTAATGGGAGCTGAAGCCGGCCTTATCTCCCCATCCCCTATACACACCTAACTCACTACTGCTCAAACAACAGACAGACCAACCCTCCAGCCGCTTGGGTGCTCTCCAAGAACACGGGTGCTGCTTTCCTGGAAAAGAAAGGGGATCCGGACTCAGCATTCGCACCTCCCCTTCCGTGTCACACTCACTACAATCACAGGTTTTTCCCAGAAGAGACTTCCTTAGGAACTGCTCACATGGAAAACTCCATAAGATTCAATCATCTTTAAATGTATCTCTCGCTACGCTCTGCCTGATGTAATTTCAGCATGGGGAGAGCATTCAGTTGATGCCTTTGAAGGCTCTTTGTGGTCTTCCCCAGCTAGAGATGTCTGCCTGGGATAGGTGCTTCATACAAATTATCACACAACAACAACAAATGTTAAACACCAGCAACAGCGTTTAGCTAAAATGCTTTCTCTTTCTCACCGGGCAGTTTCTACACAAATTACAGTACTCTTACCTGGATCCTATGGAATCGGTGGTCTGGTCTCTCCATTTGGTAGGCGGGTCAGAGGGAGTGGGCAGATACTTAAATCTTTGGGATCCAGACCCCACATTTTCCCCACAGGTAGTGACGCACAGGAGCGGATGGGAATGCAGCACCATGTGGGCCAGGTTTGGCTGGTTTGTATGACTTAATGAAGGGTGGGGGCCATCAAGGACTCAGAAGTGGGAGAAAGACAGAACCCCAACCTGGAGCAGGGAAGAAGCACCCAACCATGGGAGACCCAACCTCCACCAAATGCCAGGACCCCTTTTCTGAAGGGAAAGGAGACAGTTTTCAAAACCTGGGGCTTCCCCATACGGTCGTTGCATTATGCATCTGAGATGGATCACGTTTATCAAATACAGTCAATTCTGAGATGAACTGGCCAGTTTTCACAATGATAGCTCAGAACAACAATGCTGTGCACTTGTGCTGCACTTGCCATCCCATAATCTCAAGAGAGTTCACAAACATCAGTTAACTCAGCCTCACAACCCAGGAAGGCTAAGATCATTATCCCCATTTTATAGATGGGGAAACTGAGGCATGGAGTAATGAAGTTACTTACCCAGGTCACAAAGGAAGTAAGCCGTGCCCAGGAGTAGAAATGACAACTCTAGGCTCCCAATCCCTTGCTCTGGCTAGTACACCTATGTGCTGGATTGCATTCCACCTGAGACTGGAGCTGCCATGAAAATCACCTCATCACATTTTATTTATTGGCATGAATCTAAAATCATACAGTTAAGAGACAGAAAAGACTCATGGGGTCTCATCTAGTCCAGTCTTTCAAAATTGTCGTGAACAGACACAATCAAATCACCCACCCTTGACCATGAGGAAAGTGTGCATTTTATTTGTCCTTCCAAAAAACAACACCCCCCCACACACACACACATTCTCCCTACCTGAGTAGAATTTTGAATAGCTGATCTAGGGCCTAATTCAGCAAACTACTTAAGAAAAGATTTAGCTTTAAGTATGTGCAGAAATTCATTCCTATTTAGCAAAACATGTAAGCACGTGCTTAAGTCCCATTGGAGTTAAAAAGACTTAAGCACACACTCAAAGTTAAGCACGTGTTTAAGTGCTCTAATCAGGGCCACTGTTCTGTTACCCAAGGGGCAGTGCAGAACTGTTCCCTGCATGGCATTGTTCAGCCTTTATTTAAAAGTCACAATTGATGGGTTTCCACCACTTTCCCTTGGGAGATCCCCCCAATATATGATAAGAAACAAACATGGCAGAAGTTTTATGATTATTTATTATCTGTGAGGCATCAGCAGTGCGCCTGGCCAGGTACAAGACACAATCGTTGGGCTGGCAGACAGAAAAAGTGCTGTAGTACTTTGCCCCAAAATATTTTGCCTCCAAGAAGCTAATTAACGCATCCCAAAGGGATAACAGGCTTTCTGAGAACACACCTGGGCGTCAGATGTGCACCACCCAAAGAGAACTCATTTTGTGTAGCCCATGAAAGCTTATGCTCTAATAAATTTGTTAGTCTCTAAGGTGCCACAAGCACTCCTGTTCTTTTTGCGGATACAGACTAACACGGCTGCTACTCTGAAACCTGACATTTTGTTATCTGTACTGCTTAGTTTGGTTACTATCCAAATGGGATTTTAAAAAGTGGCCAAAATACTGTGATGGCTGGCCCTTGATTGCTGAAGCCTAACCATCTGCAAGAAACATTTTTTTTCAGGCAGGGGAGCAACAGTAAAAAGACTACTACTACTTATGGAAGTTAAAGTTTTTTCCAATAAATATGAAGAATTGTATTTAAAAAAAAAATATGAGAGAGAGAGAAAATCTTAAAGTGTCTGCTAGTTTCCGTCAGGGATTCTTGTGTTCACCAGATTGATATTATCATCTGACACGTGTTGGAAGACATCCACATCAACTCCACCAGCCTGAACTGCAAGTAGCCAAAGACAAAGCCGGAGAGGACATCTGTGATGTGGTGACGTCCAATCATGATGCGGGAAAGCCCCACACAGAAGGCCCAGAGGACCAGCAGGATCCGGAGTGGGATGGCCAAAACCAGGTGATTGAGAAAGAATTTGGACACCATGGCAGCTCGGCTGGCGTGGCCGGCTGGGAAAGCATAGATGTCCATGGTCAGATAGTCCAAGAGGCCTGGGTGGACATCGTATGGGCCTCGTCGCTTGGCCAGCTTCTGCAATCCTGCCACAATCATGACGTCCAGGAGCAAAGCTGCAAAACAAGGGAGAAAGCGGGAAAGGTCATGGAGACAAGCAGACAGGTCACTGTTATGAGATGTTCAGCAAAGGAAAGGGAGGATCTCGGGGCAGCATCTGTGCTGGGGCAATAATTGTCTTTGCAGAGAAGACCTGAGTTCAAATCTCAGCCTAGATGAAAATGAGTATGGGTGCCCTCAGCCCTGGTCATCGCCAAAGCATTCTGCAAACATGAATTGACCCTCCCAGTCCCCCGTGAGGTAGGCAAATATTGTGTTATCCCCTTCTCAGAGGAGGGAGAGCCTGCAGCACAGAGAAGACAAGGGACTCACCCCAAGATCACAGAGCGAGTCAGTGGTAGATTAAAACTCCAGAGTTCCTAGCCCTATGCTTAGACAATGGCTCTCTAGCTTTGTCCCCAATTGTGTGCCAATGAAACTATCCCACAGTACAGCACATTCTGCTGTACAGATGGTTGAGGCTGCAAGTCAGGAGGACTGCACTGCTGTAGCAGAACTGGCTGGGGAAAGTTTACGCAATCTCTGCCTTAAAGTAGGCTTAGCTCATGCCAGAGCTATTTAATTCCTTGTTCTCATAAGCCTTTAAAAAGAACAACACACACTCACAAATACAACAGCCTCTTCCTCCCCACACCCACAGAATTCTAGTGAACTGGTGGATTCCGCTAGTGGGAGGACATTAAGGGATAGCGACAGGTTAAAAATTATATCATTGAGAAAATGGCCTCATCTGCATAACACACACCACCTTGGTGAACTGAAAATGAAATGTGGTCACAATTCTCATTGACTTCTCACTTCTTTTCTTTTCGCATTCTCTAGGGCTGGAGCAATGGAAAAAGAGCAATCCACATCACTGCGATTTCTAGTCCGTTTCCACTTTCTGCGTCCCATGTGCAAGGGCTGCAAATTTTACACGTCAGGCTGTTTTGGTTTTTAGAAAACTCGCTATTGGAATGAATGAAGAAAGAAAGAAAGAAAATATTTGTGACATTTGTGCTGGATTTGGAAAAAGCTGCTTCTTCTGAGGCCTAGCCTGGAGGAAAGAAAGGACAAACTCATGTACACGAGTGTGAGATGGTCCAGAGGATGCAGACAGACATTTCCCCTCCCCCCCGAAAGAGAGAGAGAGAGAGAGAGTGTGACACACACATTCTCCCCTGTATAAATGTTGAAGACAGACAGCTCTTGCTTTCCGAATGCCACACAGGTGGTTTCTATATCATTCCTGGCTCCTCTGCCTTAATTGCTCCTGTCCGGAAGTAATTTCCGGTGGAGCTTATCCTCATCTCACTCATTTCCCTCCCTCAAACAGGTGCTGTTGATTTTATTCTTCAATTTGTTTAATCCCCTCATCTGCCTTTCTGCCGCGTTTCTAATTAGGTAGAGTGCTGATTTCAACTCCTTGCTGGGAAGGAGCTGCAGTGACAGCAGATATATACCATAGCAGGCACAGCCTGCTCCATCCGCAGGAATGTCAGAGAGACAGTTGCCTATTTTCTCAGGGACTGACTAAGACTATTCTTATTTGAAGCTGCCAAGATTTTGCCTAGATTGGAGGGGGTGGGGGGGAGGAAGGGGGTTTCTGTACACAGGAGATGGCAAACAACAAGGTAAGCAGTTATCCCAGATACTAACAGACCTCAGCCATGAGGCCAAAAACAAGGGCCCAATCCTGCAAAGTGTTACTTGGGCGAGTAATCCCACTGACATCAATTGAACTGCTCCCCTGAGTAGGAATGATGAGTACTACAGTCCTAGTAACAAGAACAACAAAACCCTCTTTATCCAAATAGAATAGGGGACAGGAGATTTATTTGGTTAAATGGGGCTTCTCTTAAGAGAGGTTAGTTAGTCCAGGGACAGCAAAACAGTAATGCACATGGAGGGGATCACAATATACATTCAGATAATTGGGAATAAGAAGGTCTCGACTCTATTGCTGCTTTGTAATATTCTTGTCACAACTAGCTAGCGAATTCTGACCCACAGGTTCTACCAGATACCTGCAAAGATGGCATCTTTGCCAGTTGTGTTCTTCCCTGCATAGTGTCTACCATGAATACATGCACCTTGTATACACACTCCTCCCAATATACATTTCAATACAGCTTGAATAGCATCTTCCATGGAAACTGTAGCCCATGCAAAACTAAGCACCACAAGATAATAGACAGTGCAATGGCGTAACTTAGAGGTAGCATATAGAGGCTGGAATTTGTTTCTGCAAAGCCCAAATGAGGGGTGGTTTGGCTCCAGATCCCGTGTTATCAGAACTATCAAAGGGCACTAGACTGGGATAAAAGATTCTGATTCCAGCTCATCTTTAGGATAAACGAGAGGCAACAGTGTTGTAAATCCACTGTAGAGCACAGGGAACAAAAGTATTCCATTCCTAAGCACAAGCGGTGGAGACAAAGGGGAGGAAGAGGAGAGGTTTACAGACGAGATTTGAACGGAAGTGGAGCGATTCAAGGAGGCAGAGTGATGCAGAGAGGCTGTTCACAACAGCATGGGGCCTCCCAGGAGAAAGATCTTGCACCAGCAATGGTGAGATTGTGAGAAGAAACGCAACAATGGGTGCTCCTTTATTGTATATGTCAGGAGTTCTCAACCCTTTTCTTTCTGAGGCCCCCCCAACATGCTATAAAAACTCCATGGCCCACAACAACTGTTTTTCTGCATATAAAATCCAGGGCCGGCGCTAGGGGATAGCAAGCAGGGCAGTTGCTAGGGCTTCAGCTCACGTAGCGGGCATTGGGGCACCGGGCTTCAGCCCCATGCAGTTGGGCTTCTGCTCTCTGCCTTTGGCCCCAAGAAGTCTAATGCCAGCCCTAGTTGGGGGACCCTCTGAAACCTGCTCGCGGCCTCCCTGGGGGCCCCAGATCCCTGGTTGAGAACTGCTGGTATATGTGATGCACTAGCTGGGCAGGAGGGGAGCTAGGGATAGAATGTCAGGTCTGTCGCTGTTCTTCCTGTAATAGTATTTGAATAGAAGGGGGTTTCCTTTGTGTTTCAAGATTTGCTAAGACTGATTTTTCATGGGGGTGGAAGGAATTTTAAAAATAGGCCAGCAATCTTTGAACAAGCCATTCACTGTTGTTTCTTGTTAAGAAACCAAATGTTGTCAGCAAAGCTAACAGCTGCAGAGGGCCACCGTTCAGCTTGGCTAGTCATTATGGAGAAGTCTTGCTTGGCCCTGACTGTGATCCAAGTGGTCTCATGTTCTTGGACTCTTATTTTGCTTCATGAGCTACTGCTGGCCACCAGCTTGGGAACCCATCATGCCTGTTACGGCCCCGATTCAGCAAAGTACTGAAGCACAGACTGAATCAGGGCCTATTATACAATTTCTCAGAGCTGGTCTCTCATATGAACCAAGAAAGTGGTCATCTGTCTCCCTGGGCATAAGCCACAAGATCTGAGGCTCTGGGATAGGGTTGTCTTGTTCTGAAATGGACACTTGTTTTAGCTTCACTGGACTTATGCATGACTTAATGCGAGTTAGACACATTTAAACGACATTTGTAATGCAGTCCGTGGCCCATAGCTGATAGGTCCTAGCAATGACCTAGGCAGCAGAGGTTGTGAGAGTCGGCCTGGGAGCCAGAGAACCTCAGAGAGCCAATGGGTCTGTCTGTACCTTCTCCAGCAGCCTCAATAATATTCATTACAACCAACCCCTGTCCCTTCTCTATCACAAGATACTACTGCGTGGTGTCCCCTTCCCCTGCACCATGGTCACCACCACTGAGCAGCTTATTCCATGATGCAGCTGCAGCAGCCTCAGCGGTGCCCTGGCTCTGAAGCACCACACAAGGGGTTGAAAGCAATGCCGGGCGGCTCACCCCAGCGCTAGAGCACATACCCAATCAGCGCATTTAAACAACACACCAAAGCAAAGGTTCTAACCTTGCCCTCCCTGGCTCTCTTATCCTCCACCGCTTGCCCTGGGGAAACACTACGCCAGAGGGAATCAGCGCGTGGTGTTATTATAGTTCTGACAGAGTCAGCAAACAGCCCAGCATTCAGAAATAGATACAAATGGTGCAGTCACTCAGGGAGCACATATTCCAGCCCATATCCCCCTGCAATTCCCCAACCTATGTACTTGGTTGGATCTAGGCTGTGGGCTGGCTGAATTGCCCTCCCCCATCACTGTTTCAATCTTGCAGCCCAGTGCAAGTAGGATTCTCTCTCCAGAGCTGGCCAGCTGCGTTCACAGGAAATGCAAAAATAAAGGGTTAAGATTCTAACAGACTGTCTGAACTGCACCTGCACACTTCGCCAGCACATCCATTTTGCGTGAGTACTTGTTGATTTACAAGCTGGCATCCGCATACCCAGTTCACCTGTCCTGTGCACCCAATATGGAGACACAGGTAAAATCTTCAGGCCCAGATACTTGATGACTGTAGAAAATCTGGCCCCTGTGACTCTACCCTATCCAGGATAGGCAGAGGTCTCTGAAGAGAGCCTGAAACTGGCTCTCCAGACTGCACTTGCCCCTGCTCCCTACAGAGGGAGGAGTTTTTCGGGTTTATAGCAAAAATGGCAAAATGTCACCTGAGGCAAAAGTGTGATTGGCTGCAGAGCTGAATTTTTATTGCAACAGCGCCCATCAGCAGAACATCTAGGTGCCACTACATAATGTTAGGAGCACATCAAATATTTCAAGGGAAGGAATCAATTCTCCTTTTCTTCCCTTTAGGTTTAAGCCTTCCCTTGCTCCCCCCCCCTCTTTTTTTTTTTTGAAAATGGCGTGTGCTCAATTTCTCCTGTGACCCAATGTTTTTTAAAAGTGTGAAAACCTAAGATTTCTTGGGCAAAAATCTCCCAAAGTGCGAAACGAGATGGTTTCACAACTCTACTCAGCACATAAAACCGAGGGCCAAATCTTACCTATCTAGGGAGTTCTAGTATGGTAAGTCACGGTGGTATCTAAATTGCTAAAATCTGGCCTCTGATGTTCACCCACTGGATTCTCACTGAAATT